AAAGGTCACAGCGCCCATTATGTATGCAAAAACAGCTTGTGATCGCGTTATCATTAGAACAGATTGATGGATTCCTGCCAAACTTAGATCATTTATGTATCTTGCAGAGCCAATGAACTGTGTAGATTCTTGGTTCATAAGGTCCAAGGTCATGGGCTCATTATGTATGCAAAAATAGCTTGTGAACGCATTCTCATTAGAACTGACAGATGGATTACTATTTAACTCTGGATATCTTGCAGAGCCAATGAGCTGAGTAGATATTAGGATCATGAGGTAAAAGTTCAAAGGGTCATATATGTATATGAGAAATTGTTTGTAATCACGATATTCTGAGAACCTGTTAATGGATTACAATTGAACTTGAATTTGAAAAATTTCTTCTGTTTTGGTTTGTAAAATTGCTCTATGACGGAGGCATCATTTTCGACTGCGCGCAGTCGAATTCCATCTAGTTATCTTCTATCTTGAGATGATGATATTCTGTGTTCTGCTTCTAATGTACCGTATTTAAATAGTCCCAGCCATAGGGCTGCATTTTCAAAGTGTATTCATGAAAATAAACAAATTAAATCGATCAATCATTCCTGGGTCTGCCCCTGATAAACTGATGGCTTTTCTCAAATTTTTTTCATAGCAAATATACAAGTCAAATGAGCTCTTTTAGCTTCATTAATTTTCAAGTGCTGTAGATGATTTATGCAGCTCAAAGCCTCAAACCTTAATATCCTTAATAATCTTACAAATCTTAAAATTTGAATATAAACATTCTATGGATCAGAAACACTACATCCATGTAAATGTACTTTAATTGACGAAGTTGATTGACTTCCTCTCCAAAACTTCCAAGAAATGTGTTATTTGAGCTTAGACCACTTTAACAACCGCATTTGAACAATGTACGTGTAAAGCCCTACGTTATTTTCGTTAAAGTCACCAGCATCAATAGGATTTAATGTTGAATTTTCTTGGAAATTGGCACAACATGAAATTGGCAACCAAAATATGACATTGACATAGAACAAGGATATTATTTACAAGTACACTGTAGATGAATCCAGGGTTTCATTGTCTTAGAAGGATTTTGAACAATTTCAACAAGATACATGTATCTATTTTTGTTCTTGGCAGGATCAGTTCATCCTTCTACATTCTCAATTGTATTGTGGAATTGATATAAAGTTGGCCAGAATTTACCTTAAGCATGATAAAAATAGCCTGGTACATTGTAGCTACATTTGTACATGCACATACAACAATTGGATGTCGCATTCCTTCTTAGGAACGATTATATGCAAATCACTATTCAATTCATATCCCTTCTAACAAAAACAATCAAACTGGCAATTCTAAGAGATTATTTATAACATCTAACAATTCCTTTATTATTTGTTAACCCTGACCCTATGTGCAATTGTTCAAGGGTTGTACAATTAAATATATTGTTTCAGTATAATTCTTTTTTTTTGTACTGCTTAATGCAGGGGTGATAGTGAGCACTAAAAAAAATAATAGGTTTTTGTTTTCCCCTCAACCCCGCCCCCCTTGAGTAAAAAAAAAAAGTGGATTCGCAGGGAAAAAATGGCATCTAACAACATTCCCCCCTTTCGAGTAAGAAAATTGGGAAGAATAGAGAAAATAAGAGGGAAATCTGGAAAATCAGGATAAAATATGGAAGAAGAAAAAAAAATTTGTAAAAAAAAAAAGAACAAAAAAAAAGAAAAAAAAATCTGGATTTTTTTTTGTTTTTGTTTTTTTTTGTTAATAAATCAGGAAGAAAACAAAAATTGGGAAAAAAATCGGGAAACCGATTTAAATCAGGTTTTTATCAGGCCTGTTAATGTCAATTATACAAGCATCGTTTTAATTACGCTTATAAAATGGGTTCAAGAATGTAGCCAATGAAAAGTGTCAAAATGGATCATGTGACCTATATGTACTGTTAAACATTAAAGAACAATATGAATTATCCTTTGTATACTTTTGTACCTGAATTTGATGGAAGAGCTCCCCTCTTATTACATATCGCAATGGGAAGTATGGTACAATTGTGAATTAATTGGATGTGTATTGGATGTGTATTGGATGTGTATTGGATTTTTGCCACACATACAATCAAATGTACATGTACATTGTTTTTCTTTCATGGCTGTGTGAATACAATATGGGTGTTTATCACCTTGACTTTGACTATGATTGTTGACATTTGCTCATAATGAAACAAGCTTAAACGTACAAAGTACATAAATATCTTGCATTTCCTTGTGTTGTATTGTAGAACTACAACCCATACTGGTAATTCACACTTTTATTCAATAAATTCAATATTGCTTACAGTAATAATTAATTTCTCTTTCTTTATGTGCAGAGAGATTTTGTGTGGTTATTTTTCTCTTTCCAAACAAATGACTACATGTATATAACCCATTGACTACAGAATTCTTTTATGACCCTGGCTTAATCGCAGGATAAAACAGATTACAATAAACAATGGGTTAAATACTTTTAGTCATACAGTTTTTGTCAATGAAAGTCACAAAACACTGTACGAGATATGTCTCAAACTGCTGAATGTTTACAGAAACACATGCACACATACGCATGTACACTACACCACAAGGGTGGGAATGATAAACCTCCCAAAATCCCCAAATACTTGGAATAAACATGACATTCAAAACAGTCATTTAAAACCAACAAGGTCAAAAAGATCAAAGAATTTCCAAAGAGAGTAATGTGCAGTACCGTACACACTAGGCCCGTCTTCACTATCTCGAGATTGCCAAATATCCAGCTATTTGAACTATCCCGATCGCAAACTATCCAGCTAATTGCGTCTTCATTAGAACGAAGTAGCAAATTAGCTGGATAGTTGGTCGGGATAATATCCCAAGATATCTTGGGATAGTTTGCAAAATATCCTACTATTTGGCAAAATATCCAGCTATTTGTCCCGAGCGTCTTCACTAGAGTGAAGATTCGCAATACACGCTAACGCTGAGCAAAATATCTCGAGCTAATTTCTCAAGGTCGAGTTCAAGTTTCGAGGTCGAATCTCGAGATAGTGAAGACGCGATTTGTTACTTCGGGATTATTTCCCAAATAGCGGGCTATTTGGCAATCTCGAGATGATGAAAACGCACCTAGTATTGCTTGAAAAAAAAGTAGACACTTTCCCACAGTGTCACACATGACTGCATGTATTATTCCATGGATAGACTTTGGTGTGACTTGGTGATAATGTGTCTACCGTATTTTATTTCAAGTAATACTGCATATGTTCATTATATTTTCATATGGAGTGGTGCAAAATAAACTGTACTGCCAATTTGAGGGGCAAAGGTGACCTATGGGAAATTCTGTTCCTCTATAAAGGGTTATATGATCATGTATTCAACTTAGGAAACAATATCCTGTATTTGTTTTGTTCTTCTTCTACGGACTTTGCACAGATTCTACATGATTCTGATTCTTATCAAAACGTAACAAACCAGAAAAAGTCAACATGAAGATAATAAAACTATGAAGATTGTGTATCAGGAGAACAACAATAATAAAGCAGAATATAATTGATGCATTGCATACAGTGTACAGTTGTATCTCTGTGACTTGAATTTGGCATTTTGACTTTATTACGTAACATGTAATTTTATTTTTAACTTGATTAAGATTTATTTTAAGGCAATTTTTTCAACCTGATTTTAGCCTTCAACTCTTAACTTCAATGTTGTATTTGTTGTTGTCGTTTTTAATATTTTGTGTGAGGTTGACGGATTGATTTTAGAGATTTTGTTTTTACTAGACTGCTGAGAAAGCATGTGCATGCTTGTAAGTAAGCTAGCAACCAGGTGAATGACGGCTTTAAGTCCTATCTGAGGGACTTGATAATGAGGAATAATGCCTTCGATTTCGAAACCCAGGACCTCCCGCTTACGAGACCACTGCTTTACCACTGTGCCATGGCGCCTGATGAAATTTGTAGGTATATATGTAATTGACAATTAATGCTTTATCAGAGGGTCCTTTATGAAAGGCAACTCCCCTATGCTTTCAGAACGACAATCTACATGTAAATATTAATGTGATTCTGCATTCTGAAACAAACTTAAAACCTCCATATTTCTGTCTTTGCTTAGCATTTTCACTTTTTCTTCTTTTTCTATTTTCTACAAATACAGATAGCTGATTAGACGGAATAAAGCCCAGCTGATTTTCACATTGTGAAATGGATTGGACACTTTGGGTCATCCAGGTAGACCAACAGCCCACGAGACCGACGTTCAATAACGGTTTTCTGGACCGACAGCCCACAAGACCGACATGTTTGTATCAAAGAAGCACATTTAGAAATATAGGAAAGAACAAAGACCGCTGGCCAACAAGACCGGCAAAACAGAGCAATAAAGGAGGGAAGATAGAAAATATTCAGTTTCGTGGGACGTTGGTTTGATGGACCCTCTTAAAAGTGGCTAGAAGGCACAAGAGACCAGGAGAGTGTTTCACAAACACTAAGATCGACTTTAAGTTGGACTTTACTACGGCAGGCCGTTAATGCCACTGTTTTCTCTCACCATTTACTGGCATAGGTCTCTCAAGGGACGTACAAATCATGGTCACAAACCTACAGAATTTAAATTGTTTGATAGTTCATAATTGAAGGAAAAAATATTATCTAAAGATCATAATGGTGAGAGCAACCAGTGGCATGAATGGCCTGCCATACAGTAGTTAAGTCCAACTTAAAGTCGATCTTAGTCTTTGTGAAACACTCCCTAGCATTGTCGGCCCCCTGGGCCGTTAACCTTGTACGCCGTCGGTCTTATGGGCCGTCGGTCTAGTGAATCCTCAAGAAATTGTCAGAAGACCCATGAGATGCAATCTGTCATTCTAGAGGGCCGTCGGTCTTATGGGCCGTAGCCCAAACACTTAACCTGACACTATAAGGTCACTGTATTTAGACATCTACACTGTAGATGTGAATTTGATAATACTGTACATACCCTGTTGAGTAGTTCATCCCTTGCAATGTTTCGCCACTGTCTTTCCCAACAAACACTGATGGTATATAGATTAACTTGTTATCTATGGTAGTGGCAAGGGAAAAAACGTGAAGGAAAAAAACATCAAAATGAAATCAGATGACATGTAGACTTACAATTTATAAAGAGGACAATAGATCCTGGGCTGGTATTAAATTCACTACGGTACTCAAGTTAGAAATATGAGTATCTACAGTGTACTTAGTTTTCAACTTAGATAAAATACTTAGCCAACTTTGTTATTCTGTTCAATCATTAGGAAGTACGTTTATGTTAAAATTCAAGTTATTCAACGAACATGCACATGTATGGGACATGAGAATATACTATGGAAGTTATGATATCTGTTGTGGAGGGGAATATTATACTTGTGGCAAAAAAAAGAGCAAAATATTCTGGTCAGGGATGCCACTTAGAATTGATCAGACGACCTGAAAATCACCTAGAATGAGCTATTTTGTACACAAAAAAGCCTAAACTATGGTCTGAAAATAACTCGTCAGGGCCTGAATTCAGGCTACATGTATTGCCTGAAAACTGGCATCCCTGTCTGGTTAATTCAAGAGGCAAGTACAAAGAGGAGTCTAGCAGTACACTGACTCTGTCTTTATTACTGGTACAATTTTGAGAAAACCAATGTGTTGCTTCCCATTTTTGTTCAAAGTCAAAACCACAAACATCCATTTGCATAATAACCAGTAACTGTTGTTTCCCATACATCCTGCTGTATGCATTTTAATTAATGTTACATATTAAAGTGTAGGCAATCATTCTATAAGCCATATGATTGTAACCTCAGTTGAACATTTATTCATTTTTTGATGATATCTATGAGGCTGTTCACACTGCAATGAGATAGCGTGGTCTATCGTAGCACCCCCTCTTTTCTAGCGCGCGCTAGACCGCACTATCTCTCGTGGACCACCCCCAAGAGGTGCTCCAGTGGCACGCCGTTTTGGCTCGCCGTGGCTCGCTGTTAGGCGGACCGAAACGACGTTGTACCTTCCAAACCGCAGAGATAGCACGGTCTAGCGCGCGCTATCTCTGCCGGTGTGAACAGCCTCTATGATACTTTGATCAGAAACTATTTTCTGAGTAAACAAAGGATATTATAAACAAGATCAGAGGGCACTATTATGAAAATACCAGTAGCGCTCCAAGTAACCTTTGATATTGTTTTATAGACTTTAAATGTTTATCTTCTGATATCAACTTTCTGCTTCTACTTTTCTACGTACTAGTTTTACATCTTCGCATCCTGGAAGACTGCCTTGCAAGATTGCATTACAAGTCTTAAACAAAATCTTCTAGGCCAAGGCGTTTTCTTAATGATTTTCTTTTTTTTGTGCATGAGGACCATTGATAGTGAGCATTTAAATTTTACAGGGCTCTCATGTTCATTTGCAGGAGCTCAATTCTTTTTAAAAGTACCTGCACAATACTGGTACTAAAAAATACATTGAACTTCAATGTGTGAAGAAATACATTAAAAAAACGACATACAGTATTATAATCACGACTCAATTTACTCTTAAACAAAATCTTCAAGGCGAAGGCGTTTTGTTAATCTTCTTTTTTTTTGCATGACAACCATCGGTTGTGAGCATTTAAATTTTACAGGGCTCTCATGTTCATTTGCAGGAGCTCAATTCTTTTTAAAAGTACCTGCACAATACTGGTACTAAAAAATACATTGAACTTCAAAGTGTGAAGAAATACATTAAAAAAACGACATACAGTATGATAATCACGACTCAATTTACTTGTCCAATACACAACCAGCTACTGAATATTAGCGAACTGAAGGGGAGAAAATGAATTTACAAAGGTTGGTGTGTGGGGGAGGGGGTGACTTAAACTAAAAATGAAATTGAATCAGTAAAAAAAAAAAAAAAAACATTGAAAAAATTAATTCATTTCTAACCTTCTGCAATTCAACGATCCGATCAGGGCCCCGTTTCAAAAAAATTGTTATCAATAACAACTGCCACAGATCTATGACAAATCTGCTAACAGCCAGGATTTTGGTAGTTTATAACAATCATTGGAAATTGTTATTTGATTTGAATTTATTTCTGCATTTTTCCAAATATAATATAATGATACATTTGTAACTGAAACAGGACCCAGGTCCATCTACAGTGTAAGCCATTTTCAAAACAAACTGTACGACAGATATTTATCATATGCTTAATACAGACTAAGGCTATATAATGGAATTCTAAAAGCACCTATAAAAGCTGGATCATGTGGTAAACCTCAGCACTTCTTTATGAGGGGGGGGGGGGGGGTTGTGCATAAAATGACATAAGCAGTGTTTGTATTTTATAACACACAGATATGTGAGAAAATGCAGGGCCCTGGATGTGAGCAGAAACATTTTTTTTCTCCCCGTCCCTGATTTCCATTCATTTTACATGTAAAGAAAAAAACTGCAGCGATAATATATTCCAGCATCATGAAACACATACCAGTACATGTATATTTTGTGTATTTTACACTTTACAGTAAATATATAAATAAGAATACGCATTACATTGGTCAAACAGTTTTTGAGCGTCATGTACATGTACATGTAATACCTGGTTGTAATGCTCCCCAGGGAGTGGAGATTGTGCACACAATGTGCACGACAGGCAAGTATGGAATCCAATGCCTTTGGTGCCTTCACAAATATTCATTAATTTCCATCCCTACTCGCC